TTAGGGCTTAAGGGTTTAGGGCTTACAGGGTTCAGGGCTTAGGGCTTTTTGGGATTTAGGGTTTAAGGTTGGGGTGCAATCACTGCAAAGACTGCACGACATATTAGGCAAGCGATGGCGAAGGGAAGAAAAAATGATATTTCAAGATCCACATCACTGGCTCAGTCTGTTCATGTGGCAAGTTAATGACAAGGTCCTACTAAGACGTTTCGACCCAAATTGCCCCTGGCCCCAAACCCTAAACCCAAAACCGAAACCCTGAACTCCAATCGCTGAACCCCAAGTCCTAAACCCCGCACCCTATATCCCTAAATTCCGCAACCCGCTAAACATCTCAAGTCAGCCCCTACACCCTAGGCCCTAAACCCTAAACCCTAAACCCTAAACCCCAAACCCTAAACCCCTAAACCCCTAAACCCTCAACCGCCCTAAACCCGAGTCCTTGCAGCAATCGAGGAGGATGTCCTCCACCAGATTCCTCCAACGGACTTCTGAGGTGACTGCCCTAGAGAGTTTCGGGGTTTCGGGGGTCCTTTAAGGGCCCTAAACCCTAAACCCTATACCCTAAACCCTAAACCCTAAACTGTGGGGTGTTTGGGAAGTTTAGGGGTTGGGGTTTGGGGGTCCTTTAAAGCGCTCTAAACCCTAAACCCAACCCTAAACCCTAAACCCTGAAACCTCAGGGGTTCGGTGTCGGGGTTTGGCGGTCCTTTAAGGGCCCTAAACCCTGAACCCTAAACCGTTGGGGGTTGGGGGCTTTATGGGTTTGTGGGTATCTGGAGATTCCTTTATGGGGTACTTGGAGGGTTGCTAAAGGGTGTTTAGGGTGTAGGGTTCTGTGATGGGCAGTGCTTCCGGGGTTATCACACCATGGACTTCTGTGGTGGCGAGGGTTACTTACCAAAGAGGGGTGGAGAGGGGCTTGGGATCATAAGAGTCGGGTTTTGGGGTATGTTATACCATAAGTACTGAAAAGGAAGCTACCCTAAACCCTAAACCCTAAACCCTAAACCCTAAACCCTAAACCCTAAAACCAGGGCTTTTGCCCTTACTAGGGCCCTTGCCCCTACCAGGGCCTTTGGCCAGCCACCGCATCCGAAGGCCGTTCTTGGCAATCGGTTGTTCGTAAAACCCTATGCCCTTTCCCCGGCCGGTTTAGGGTTTAGGGTTTAGGGTTTAGGGTTTAGGGTTTAGGGTTTAGGGTTTAGGGTTTAGGGTTTAGGGCGTAAAAAAATAAAACGACTTCACCTGCAATGTGTTGAGCAACGTGGAGGCGGGACCATGTATGCCTTATACGGCGAAAAGTCTCCTCGCGGATATATATATATATATACACATAGACAGCGCCACGATACCACGTAGCAGCGCCATTGCGGGGTGGGGCGCATAGAAGCGCCACAGGCCGCACCACCGCGAGCTAAGACAAGTCCCCACGGGACCGAGGAGCCTTAGCGGGTCCTTATAGGCAGAAAACTAAAGAAGAGGCCCTGGGCGTCTCACGGCGGGCACCGGGGTAGTGCTCAGCAACAAGCCATCAGAACCTGGCCATGCTCACGACTGCTTTCAGTCCTTAGTAAGCGCCAAAACGCGCTTCCTCACTCGGCGCAGCTGGCTGAGCACTTCATGGTGGATCCCCTGCTGGTCCCACCCCAACCTAGCAACAAGCTGGGAGTTGGGCTTGCTGCAGTGTCGGAGGTCAGAAAATTTCGAGCATGCCCAAGACACATGGTGCAGGCTCGGGACTGTATGCTCGCCACAGAACGGGCACTCATGAACGAGGAGCTTCGTACTGTAGTCAACGACTGGAGATTTGAAACCTCCAGTTGCAACGCCCAGCGCAAAGCCGTCGTGCCTCTGCATGCCCGAGCGGAGCTCTCGGATCAATCCGGGCGTGATCCGAAGATCTCCTCGTGGATGCCTTTGCTGGTAGAGCCGCGACCACCACATCAGGATGTCGTACGTCCTTGTCAGTCTCATAGCCCCTATATTAGGGTGTAGGGTTGAGTGTGGGGGAGCACCGGGCTATAGGGCAAGAGGGTTTGGGGGTTTCGGTTATGGGGGTTGGGCCTTGGGTTCAGATCTTAGG